CCTTCCCCACCCCCCGACACCCCCCACCCCCCTTGCTCCCCCACCCCTTCCCGCCGCCACCCCCGCGCTGCTGCCCGCTGCAGGCTCAGCACGGTGCGCAACGCCGACCAGACGGTTGTGATGGACCGCGGGGGGCGGGTGGCGGAGGTTGGCACGCACGCGCAGCTGATGCGGCGCGGCGGCATCTACGCGGCCCTGGTCAGGCGCCAGTCTGGCGCGGTGCTGGACCAGCAACGCGACCTGGCGCCGCACGAGCGCCAGGGCGCGCCTCCGCCCGAGGGCGAGGGCGGCGGCGGCGGTGGCGTGGGCGCGGCAGGCAGCGCGTCGGGCGACGCGGCGGGGGGCGAGGAGGCGGCGCTGCCCGACTCGCTGCCGCAGTGGAAGCAACAGCAGCGGCTCAGGGTGGAGCATGACCCCGCCTAGCCTGCTGGGCTCACCTAGGTAGTCTGGCTGGGCTGGCTGGGCAGGCTAGGCTTTAGTAGCCGCTGCCTGGCTGGCAGCTGGCAAGCAGGCGCCCAGCAGCGGCACATGCCGCAGCTCTCAACCGCTCGGCACAGCTCAAGCATGCGCCTGTTGGTAGTACCCTCGATTTTGTACTGCTGTGCACCACTGTTAGATTCCCTTTGCTGTGGGTGGCTTGCTTGCCCCTGCTGCTGTAATGCGCTGCCCTGCCGCCTCCGTCGACGCCCAGGGGCGGTGGCAGAACGACGCTGGGGCAGCCAAACGGGCAGAGGATTTGCTTGAACTGCTCCTCAGGTATCTTGCTCATGCTGCTCCTCGGGTTTTGCTTGTGCTGCTCTGCTGGCATGCCGGATCCGGCAGACGCGGAGCCGCACCGCAGCAGACTTGGCAGCAGACACAGCAGCGGCAGCAGCAGCGGCAGCAGCGGCAGCAGCAGCGGAGGGCCACTCACTGCTCTTGATCTTGCTGCGCAGCGCCAGCACCGTGTCTGCATCTTGGATGCGCTCCGCCACCGCCAGCCGCCCGCCCAGCCCCAGCGACTCTGCGACCTCGGCAATGCCGGCGCCATCCAGGCCAAAGGGATACACGTGCAGGGCTGCTGGGCCGCCACCGCTGCCGCCGCCGCCGCCGCTCCGGCTGCTGCCGCTGCTGCTGCTGCTGCTGGCGGGGAGGCCGAGGCTGGTGGGTGGCGGGCCGGCGCCGGCGCCAAGCCCGCCGCCGGCCGCCTTGGCCGCGCCGCGGCTTGCGGCGCCGCCGGCGCCGGACTCTGCGGCTCGCAGCGCCGCGGGCAGCGCCAGCCCAGCCTCCTCTGCCGCCTGCATGGCCGCGCCCATGCGGGCGGCGCTGAGGGCCTCAGCCGGGAAGGGCTGCGTCTCCACCTGCTGCCGCCGCGGCTGCTGGCGGCGGCCGGCGCCGGCGCCGCGCCGGCCGGCCGCCGCCTCCCCGCCTTCGGGCGCCTCCTCGTCTTCCGAGTCGGTGCCGCCGCCCTCTGGCCAGCTCCACACCTTGCCAGACTCGTCCCGCTCCCGCACCTCAGCCCCTGCACGGCGGCAGGCGCGGCAGGCGCGGTTGGGAGGGTGTGCGCATGTGTGTGTGTGTGTGTGTGTGTGTGTGTGTGTGTGTGTGTGGCACGTGGGTGGGTGGATGGGTGGGAGGGCGAGCACGCAGGGGCGGGCCAGCCCAGGCAGCCCACTCCGCAGCAGCACTGTGCGGTGCGACACAAGCAGGGCAGGAGCCGCCTGTCAGTGGCGCGAGGCGTGCCTCCCCGCTTGCCTGCGTCCCTGCCCGCCAGCAGGCAGTCCACCGCCCAGCCCACGTCCAGGTGCACCCGCCACTGCTCCCGGCTGACCATCTCCACGCAGGCGTCAAAGGTGGGAGGGCTCTGCGGGCAGGCGGCAGCGGCAGCGATGGCGTTGGCGGCGGCGGGGGTGGGGACAGAGAACAGAGAGCAGAGCAAGGCGGCGGCGGCCGAGGCGCTTGCCCGGAACACGGGCAGGCCGCCTGCCAGCACGCATCCAGCAGAGGGGGCCCAGGCAGCCGCGGCCGCCGCCAGCACGCAACACACAGGCTGTCAGGCTGGGCTGAGCTGGCGCCTGTTGCTGAGCTGGCGCTGAGCTGGCATAGCGCTGCTGACCTGGCGCTCCAGCACCGACTTCTGCACCCCGCGCCGCTTGGCCTCGTCGTCTCCCAGCGTGACCGAGGCGATGCCGCCCACCTGCAGGCAGGGGGACAGGGGGCCCAGCCCAGTTCAGCATCGACGGCACCAAGTCACAGCAGCAGCGGCAGCAGCAGCAGCAGCAGGCATCAGGGCCACGCTGCGGGCAGCGGATGCGGCGCCAAGCCTGCCCGGTGTGTGCCTAGTGCAGGGCGCGGCCAGCCTGCCCGGCGAGTGCCACCCACCAGGTCGTTCAGGCTCGGGTTCTTCACCACGTTTTCCAGCTCGTTGCCTGCAGGGGGAGGGGCAGGGAGGGAGGCGGGGAGGCACGGGAGGCCCGGGGGTAAGGGCGGCGCTTCGCCTCTCACCCTGGGACCCATGCACCACGCCAAGCACCTCCCGTGCCGTTGCTCCGCGTGCCTGCCGGCTCCGACACGGAGCGCGGGCCGGCAGAAGCAGGGCCGAGGGCAGGGGGAGGGGGCGGGGGCGGCGGCAGCTGCCGTGCAGGCCAGAAGGAGGCGGTAGCAGCTGGCCCGCCCCCCCCAGGCCAAACCTCCAAGCCTCCCGCCCGCCCACCCACCCACCGTGCGCGGTGGCCACCAGCTGCACGCCTCGCTGGGCGATGGTGCGGGCAGCGAGGCACTCCGCCTCGGTGCCTATCTCGTCAATCACTATGGTGGAAGGCATGTGATTCTCAACAGCCTCTATCATCACCCGGTGCTGCTGCTCGGGGTGAGGCACCTGCACCCGCGCCAGGCGCGCAGGGAGGGAGGAGGCGGCAGGGTGGGTGCGGCGCCTGCACCCTTGGCAGGCGTGCGAGAAGGGAGGGAGGCGGGAAGCCACCGCGCCGGGCTGGGCGCGGCGCCCGGCTGGGCGCCAGCAGCTGTCTCGCGTATGATGTGCGCATGTGTCACTGTGGCTGAGTGCATGCGCGATTCGGGGGTGGCAGAGCCAGACAGGCGGGCGGACGCGCCACTGCGCGCGCCTGCATGCGCCGCGCGCCGCCGATGCCCGGATGCGGTATGTCGCCGTCGCCGCCGATCTCGTTGGAGGTATCCACCACCACCACCCTCCGCTGGCACTCATCCGCCAGCAGACGTGAAATCTCGCGGATGGCGGTCGTCTTGCCCACGCCGGGGCGGCCTGCGGCACAACACAGGCAGCGGTTGGCCGGGGCCGGCGGGTGACGGCAGGGTCGACGGTCGATTTTGGCGGCGGGCACGGCCCCGGCACGCCGGCCGCGGTCACGAGCTGGCAGCCGCCGTGCGGCGCGAGCGCGGCGCTGCTGCGGCAGGCGCCCGCGCCGCTGGGAGGCCGCCAGAACACACCCAGCAGCAGCACGCTCTTGCCGTCCCTGGCAAGGTCAGCCACCATGGCGGCGCTGCCTGCACAACGCGCGCGGCGGCAAGGCAGCAGGCGTCAGCAGCAGGCGAGCACGCGGCGGTGGCGGGCAGCAGCATGGCCCCAAAAAACGCAGCAAGCTGCAGCACGGCCAAAATGCGCAGCAGGCTGCAGCATGCGGGATGCCCTGCACAGGCAGGCCGCGGAAAGGTGCAGGCCGTGGGTGCGCAGCAGGCCCCGGCCTGCCGCACCTGAGATGGCCCGCCCCACGCGGCACGTCAGGCCCACCACCCGCCCCGCGCGGTTGCGGATGCAGCTGATGCGGTGCTGCATGGGCGGGGAGGGGAGCAGGCACGGGGGTGTTGATTGACCCCCACGGGACCGGCTGCAACATATTCACCCATCCCCACCAGCCCTCCATGGTGCAAAAGAAAACAAAACAACCCACTCCCAGCACGACACAGCCCACAACCCAGGGCCTGTGCATGCATGCATGCAACAGCCGGCCACAGCCGCAGCCTCACCAGCGTCTTGTCGATGCCGGCGCGGTTGTCCCCGCCAAACTCCCCCACCTGCCAGGCACGCGCGCAGCCGGCAGCACGCCGTGAGCGCAGGCTCTCGCCCAGCTAGGCGGGGCAGGTGCAGCGGCAGCAGGGGCAGGCACAATTTGTGCCGGCCAGGCATCCGCGTGCCGTCCCGGCCGCGCGCCGCAGCACAGCCCAAGGCCCGCCAGACCCATCCCACACGCACCGCCGCTCCTGCAACAGTGCCGCAGCCGCAGGCCACAGCCCCACCTGGCGCACAGCATACTGGAGGTCTTCAGGGCTCACCGCCGCCTCTGCCAGCCGCACGTCGCCGCCGGGGAAGCGGGCCAGCGGCGGGCGCCCCAGGTCCATCACCACTTCCAGCAGCTGCGGCAGCTCTGGGTGCTGCCTCAGCTGCTGACGCACGGCAGGCGGCAGCAGGTGCACCAGCTTCAGCACCTCGTCCGCCTGGGCAGCGGCGGCGGCGGCGGCAGAGGCGGCGCCCGCCGCCGCCGCTCGAGCCTGCGCTGCAGGGCCCCGTCCCGCTGCGAAATCCCTCCCGGCTGCCGCTGGGCGCTGGGGCCGGCGCAGGAGGAGCAGAGGCTCGGCAGGGAGGGGCACGGTGGAGCTGCAGGACGCCAGGCCGCTGCCGTATGGGGTGCGCTGTCGCGACATGGGAGCCCAAACGGCGCTTGAGCCGCGCACATGGGATTGCAGGCTCGACATGCTGCGTGCTCCTGGGCAATGTGCGTTCTGAGGGGGCCTGGGCCGACAGCCGCTGGGCAGCCACCACAGGAAACGGGCCTGGCGCCACAGCCCAATCTAAAACTTCGATGCTCTGGTCAGTTGTTGGTTGAGCAGCATATAGAGACTGCCGTGGACGGGCTGCCAGCCGGCGCCACACACAGCGCGCAGCATGCCACCTCCTCCCGCGCAAGTGCAAGTGCTCTTTGAAACCTTCCATTGTAATAATAACAGGTACAAGGGCCAAGGGCCCTACATGGATCTGCGGATTGCTTTGGTTTCGAAAAGAACGTGAGGCTTGAGATGCAGCACCCGCAAGAGTGGGCGGCCCAACAGGGGGCGGAAGGTTAGTAGGCAGGTGGCAAGTGCAGGCAAGTGCAGGACATCTGGGGGGAATGGGTTGGGAATGCGAGAAGGTCTATCCATGAACGAAGCTGTAGCCATGAAAGCAAAAAGGCTGACGATCTGGTGATCACTAGAGAAAGAGGTATGGGTAGGGCAGGAAACAGGCCGGCAGATCGACGAGGGCGGCGACTCGAGCTTGGAGGCAGGGGACAAAAAAGGGACAGGGAGGCGGCCCGAGGAGGTTCCTGTGAGGGAACTGACAAGGGAGTAAAAAGAAAGCGGGGGCCCTACAACACCACCGCGTCCATCAGCAGCCACAGCACCCAGGCGCACACCGCCAGCCACGCGGCCAGCGCCGCCGCGGAGAGCGGGCGCGCCAGCGAGGCCGCTGCCGCCTGGCCGCCCTCCTCGCCCTCGCCATGGACCTCCAGCCAGCGGCGCTGGAAGCGGTATCGCGACGCCTCCTCCACCGCCCATGTGACCAGTACCGGCAGCAGCGTGCCCAGCACTAGCTGCAGCCAGCCGTGCACCGCCACGCAGCTGAGCCGGCAGGCGTCGGCGCCGCAGCTGCCCGCCAGCGCGTCGCGGCTGCTGCAGGCGGCCACGCCGCCGCCGCTGCCCGGCCACCAGGGCAGCCTCGAGCGCAGCTGCCGCGCCACGTCTGCGGCAGGGCAGGGGTGTCGGGGCGGTTGATTGCAGAGGAGGTGGTGGGAAGAAGGCGGGAGGGCAAAGAGCACAGATACGCTGCGCTGCACACTTGTGCCTGCTACAGAAGTGAGTGGGGGCGCCTTGGCATTATGGCACCTGAAGCAGAACCACGCTGCCGGTTGCAAGGCAGAGGGGGGGGCCTCTGGTGCCCCTGCAGGCAGCAGCCTGGCGGCCCCCGCGCCGCGCACCTGCATACCGCAGCGCCGCCGCCGGCTGCTGGCTGCCGCGGCACTCGGCCGTGCATTGCCGCAGCGTGCTGTGCAGCATGGCCAGCAGCACCACCGCCGCGCTGGGCAGGTTGTACTTGAGCGGCAGCATGTAGGTGCACAGCAGAGTGGAGATGCTGCCCGGCTGCAGGGCAGGGCAGGGAGCGCGCAGGGCGGGGAGGGGTGAGCAGGCCGCCGCAGGCGCAGAAACACGTGCGCTGACGACACCTGGGGGGTGCCGATGCGGCAAGGAGTCTGCACGGCCGCCGCCGTACGCTGGCAAGCATGCGCGGCAGCTCAGCCAGCCGCGACTTGCCCGCCGCATCCAGCAGCTGCTCCCCTCAGGCCCCCTCGCTGCCTCACCCGCCAGATCAGCATGCCCAGGGAGCTAGCCGGTGCCGCCCCGGGCAGCAGCAGCGCCCCCTGCCCGCCCGCTTCGTCATTGAACAGCGGCGCAAACCGCATGACTGCACGGCAGGCAGGGAGGCGGGCGCTGTGGGCCGCGGCTGCTGCTGCCACCCGTCCTCGCAGCGCGCACCCCCGGTGCCGCGCCCGCTGCCGTGCATGGCTGCCCACACAGACACAGCCAGAAGTGCTGGGCACCTCCTGCCTCACTTGTGAGCAGGCGCTGCAGCCGCGCCAGCAGCACCAGCGGCGTGCGCAGGCGCAGGAATGCGGCGGGGCGGCGCTGCGTCAGCAGCAGGATGAGGGGCGCCCAGGCGAGGAACAAGGCCAGCCACAGGACGTCGGCGGCGCCCAGGGTACTGCCCACGCCGTCGGCGGCACGAAAGTGGCCCCATAGCTGCGGGGCCAGGGGTGCCAGTTGCAGCAGGCTGTCAATTGCGTGTCGTGCAGCGCTGATGCCAACAAGGCACAGACGTCCCGGGCACGCCTAAAGCACGCGTGAGCGACAGATGGGGGTTTAGGGGCATTCGCTGCAGGCGGAGGAGGGTACTAGGCGGCAACAGCGGCGGCGGCGGCGGCGGCTTGCTGCTCCGCAGCTCTCCGCATCCCCGCCTCCCGCCCTGCACCCGCTGGCCCCTGTTCAAGCGTTCAGCGAGCCTGCGAAAGGCCAGCACTGCCCGGGCGGGCCCCTCACCGTGCGCGCCACCAGGCCAGGGAACAGCAGCGTCTGCAAGGAGACACAGGCATCCAAGGCCGCGGCATCGGCCGCGAATCGCCTCTCCCAGCCCGCCTCCAGACGCTCCTCCCTGAACCCCAGCCCCCACGCGGCCATGGCCAAGGCCCGCGCCCCGCCAGGAGCGCACACCAGTCGCCAGACGGCACTGCAATGCCGGCAAGGGTGGTTCTGGCAGCCCCCGGCAGTGTTTTGAAGCCGCCGCGGCCAGGGTAGGCTTCCACCTCTAAACGGAGCGACTGGCCTCGACTGATCGTTATTCAACTGCAGGCAGTGGATTATGCAGCAGATCGCTGCAAAACACGCGCGGAGAGTAACGTGGGGCAGGACCGGTCGCCGACCGCGGCGGTAGGGCCGATCTACGAAAATGCAATTCAAGGCCCCCCCGAATCCACTGCAATGAATGCCCATGAGGCCTGCAGATGGCGTGGGCCAGCCAACCCTTCCCATCGGGGCGCCCTACCGTCCAGGCGCCCTTGGCGCCCTGGCCCATGGGACCCACACTTCAGTCCAGGACTCGCCTTTGCAGCTTTGGGCATCCACGGCCAGTATAAGGGCCAGGATTGAGTTTGGGCCAGGACTCAGTCGCCCACAGGGGAGTCCAGACGCTTGGCCCGCACTCGGGCCCAATGGCCAGCGCCTGGCTTGCCAGCGAGTTTGATTGGGACCCGCATGCCCTAATAGCACACCCGGTGCCGCCCAGCGGCCACCTCCCCGCTTCGCCCTCGCAAGGCGCTCACAGCCCCGCCGCCCACCAGGTGAGAGCCTGTGTAAACCCAGGGGATGTACGGCAGCCGAAACTTCACGCGCTGGGCGCGCTGCAGGGCCTACGGCCAGCGCCGTTCGCCCCCCGGCGCCACCGGTCACACACGCCCGCTGGCACCCTGCGCCCGGCAGCCTGGGGGCCCCTGCCGGGGGCCCGACCGCCTGCCGCTGCCTCGCGGGCACTGTTGCAGCCGGGCTGCGGGCCTGCACGCCCGGCCTGCCAACCCCACGCGCAATATGTGCCGCCGGGCCCGCCCCGCAGGTGTCCCTGCCCTCTGCCGCCGCCACGGCCACTGACCTCAGCAACGGCAGCGCCACGGAGCAGGCCCCGGGCACCGCGGGCAGCCCCCCACCCCGCATCGAGCCGTCGGGCGGCGGCAAGGGTCGGCGGCGGCGCGGCGCCGCGGCCGTCTGCCAGGTCGAGGGCTGCGGCGCCAACATCGAGGGCGGCAAGCCCTTCTACCGCCTGCAGCGCATCTGCGGTGCGCGGCCGCGCCCTCGCGGGCTGCGCCCCGCGCCCGGCTGGCGGCCTGCAAGCGGCCGCGCCTGCAGCGCGCCGCCACGCTTGCGCCTGCCCAGCACTCACCTGGCCGCCCCGCCGCCTGCCCAGCCTGCGTTGCCCCAGTTTGTGCCTCCCGCCGCCCCGGGCGTGCGCCGCCGTCCCCGACCCCCAGCCCCGCGCTCTGTCCACCTGCAGAGATGCACGCGCGGTCGCTGGCGGTGACGGATGCCAGCGGGAGGGCGCTGCGGTTCTGCCAGCAGGTGAGGACCCCTGCCAGCATAGCCAGCATAGCCCCCTGCCAGCAGCTTCGCCCCTGCCAGCAGCCCTCGTGTGGCACTCCCTGGTACAGCAGGAGCGACGCCCGCTGCTCGTTGCCGCCCGCCGCGGACCCTCCTACTCTGCCTCGCGGCGCGGCGCCACCCGCCGCCCGCCGTGGTTGTTGCCCTTGCGCGCCGCGCTCTGCCCGCTGCCCCACCCGGCGCCGCCCCCGGGCTCCCCCCTCTGCCCTGCAGTGCACTCGGATGCACTCTGTGTCAGACTTTGAGGGGGCCAAGCGCAGCTGCGTGGCCTCGCTGAAGCGACGGGCGGAGCGGAAGCAGGCGCAGCAGGCGGAGCGCAGGGAGGAGGCGGCCGTGGATCCGACCGCGGGCAAGGGCGCGCGGCGCAAGGGCGGCAGGGGCCTGGCCGCGGGCGACGCGGCAGCGCCGGGCGCGGCCACCCTCTCGGGCAGCTCTGGCGGCGGCGGCGGCGGCTCCTCTGACAGCCGCACCACCAGCGGCGCCGCGCCGCCGCGCAGCCAGCACAGCGGCGGCAGCGGCAGCGGCGGCGGCTTCCCCGACGGAGGCTCTCTAAACCAGCCGCAGCAGCCGCAGCCGCCGCTGCAGCAGCACCAGCAGCACCAGCAGCTGCTCTCCCCCCCGCCCGCCAGCCTGGCAGCCTTCTCGCCCGGTGCTGCTGGCCCGCAGCTGCCTGCGGAGACGTCGCCCGCCGCCTCCCTGTCGGCGCTGCGCCTGCAGCAGGGCGCGGCGGCGGCGCAGCCGTGGCAGGGGCACCTGCCGGCGGTCGGCGCGGCGCCGCCGGCCCCGCAGCTCGTGGCTCTGCCGCCGCCGCAGCAGCTGGGGCTGGGGCTGGGGCTGCAGCAGGTGCAGGCGCAGCAGGGGCCAGGCCAGCAGGCCTCGCTCAACGCCTTGCTGACTCAGCACAACCTGCTGGCGCCAGGCAACTACCACCACCTGCCTGCGGCCCACGAGCTGCAGGCGCAGCAGCTGCTGGTGCCCGGGGCCGGCCTGCCGCCCCAGCCGGTGGCTGCGCAGCCGCAGCACCAGCAGCACTTTGCGCCCGCGCCTGCGCCCGCACCCGGGCCGCGCTTCTTTGCGCCCGCGGCGCCCGCGGGAGGCCAGCCTGGCGGCGCCATGCTGGCACCAGCACGGACGCACGACATGGTGATGTGTGAAGCCCCCTCCATGCCCACCCTCAGCCCTGCAGAGCTCGACATGCTGCTGGTGCTGCCGGGGCCCGCCAGGGTGCCGCTGCAGCTTTTCCTATGCGCTGCACACCACAGCGCGCACGCTCCCGCCTCGCCTGCCCACCCATGCATGCGCTCTACACTCCCTTTTTGGCCTGAGCGCGGCCGCATCTTTTATGCGTGTGCTGCCCTACCTGTGCTGCCCCTGCCTGTGCTTATCCCTGCCCGTGCGTATCCCTGCTCGTGCTTACCCTTCATGCCTTACCTTTGTGCCTATCCCTCATGCCCGGGCACAGACCATGGATCCCGATGACATGGCGTCAGCGCTGCTGGCCCGAACAGACGCGGCGTCGTGCAGCCAGGCGGCGGGGCCGCTCCCCGCCGGCATGCCGCCCGTCAGCCTGCCGGCCACCAGCAGCGGCGCCGCGTACGGCGGCCAGGGCGCGTTTGGCGCGATGCCCAGCGGGCCGCACGCGCGCGGCGGCCCGCACGGCCAGCCGGGACTGGCGCCGCAGCTGGCGGCGTGGCCCGCGGCCGGCGAGGCGGCCGACATGCTGCACGCGGCGGCGGCGCCACAGCTGGCGCAGCTGCCGGCGGCGGCCGGCATGCCGGGCGACTTTGCGGTGGTCCGCATCTCTTTTAAGGTGTGCCTGGGGGAAGCTCTCCCCTCCCTGGGCTGAGCAGCGACAGTGCAACGGTTGATCCACACACACAACAAGCATGTGTTTGTCTGTGCACTGATCGCATGCAAATGGCTGCATGCGGCGCCGGGGCCCTCACCCATGGCTGGCGACGGCAACCGCTCGCTGCTGCGCCGCCCCTCCCCTCTGGCCGCAGATGTATGGCCTGCACCCCGACCAGCTGCCGCCCCAGCTGCGGCAGGAGCTGCAGCACGCGCTGCTGGCGGCGCCCACGGTGCTGTCGGGCGCGGTGCGCGCCGGCTGCTCCCACCTCACCGTCAACCTGCTGGCCACCTCGGCAGAGGCAGCCGCGCTGCAGCAGCCATCCGGCCCCGCGGCGGCGCTGGCGCGCCTGCTGCACGGCTGGCAGCAGCAGCAGCAGCAGCAGCAGGGGCAGGGCGGGGAGCCCCAGGGCCGCACGTGGCGGCTTCCGGCGGGCCTGCCGCTGCTGCGGGTGGTGGCGCAGGTCGAGTCGGGCGGCGGCGCGGTGCTGCTGGCGCCGGTGGCAGAGGGCAGGCTGGTGCCTGGCGCCGCCGTGCTGTGCGCGGTCGGCCCCAGCAGCAGCAGCGCCTTGCACCAGCGGCTGGAGCTGTCGCTGTCGCCGGCCACGCCCGCTGCCACGACCGTGGGCCAGGCGGGCGGCCGCTTCCAGCTTCGCTGCGCCGACTGGCAGGAGCTGGCGCTTGGCGCCGAGCCGGTCGCCGCCCGCCGCATGCTGCACTGCCGCAGCCGCGGCAGGCACGCGACGGTGGCGCTGCTGCGGCCGGGTGGCGGTGCCGCGGCTGCAGAGCGCGTCGCCGCCCGCACCAATGGACGCGTGGCGGATGTTGATGAGGCGGGGGCAGCGGCAGAGGCAGAGCAGCAGGAGGAGGACTCAGAGGAGGAGCCAGAGGAGGAGTTTGAGTCAGAGGGGGAGGAGGAGGAGGAGGAGGTGCAGCAGCTGCTGCTGCAGCAGGGTGCCGCAGAGGCGTGGGTGCCCGCGGCGCAGCGACAGTGGGGCCTGTACGAGCTGGAGCTCGCCTCAGGTGTGTGTGTGTGTGTGCTGTGGATCGTGGATGGGTGGGCAGAGTGGAAGGGCGGGATGGAGGCGCCGCCAGCCGCTTCCTCGCCCTGCCTGCATCGCCGCCAACCACGAGGCTCCGCTGGAAAGGTTCTGAGCCATTTGCTGCGCTGGCTGCGCCGCCGCAGGTCCCTTCCTGGGCGGCTCCGTGCCTGTGCTGGTGCTGCCCGACGAGCTGGCTGGCGCGGCTGCCGAGCTGCAGCAGCTGCAGCACGGCGAGCAGGCTGGCCGGGTGCTCCGCCTGGTGAGCATGGTGCTGGAGCATGAGGAGCGGCAGCGGGAGGCGGCAGAGGCGGCAGCGCGAGGCCCGGCGGCCGCGGCGGCGGCTCGGGCGGCGCTGGCCGCAGCCTACCCGCCTGCCGCGCTGGAGCGGCTTGCGGGCGCAGCGCGGGCACTGTGCGCTCTGTGCGTGCGCTGCCGCTGGCCCGCGCTGCTGCGCCGCATGCTGCCGGCCGCCGCTGCCGCCAGCGACGCGGCGGCGGCGGTGGCGGCCATGGACGCGATGCTGCCGCCCGTGGGGCTGCTGGGCACGGCGGCGGCGGCCGGCCAGGCGGCCACGCTGTGGGCGCTGGCTGACCATGCGGTGGCGCTGGGGCACAGCTGGCAGCTGGCGTGCAGCAGCAGCGGCCTGACACCGCTGCACCTGGCGGCGGCGCTGGGCCGCGGCCTGAGCGGCGACGCCGCCTCGGCGCTGGTGGCGGCGCTGGGGCCGGCGGCGGCGGCCGGCTGCTGGCGCGGCGCTCGGGCCGGCGGCTGGACGCCGCGGCAGGTGGCCACGGCTGCCGGCTGCGCCGCACTGCTGGACCTGCTGAGCGCCGGGGAGGAGGCGGCGGGCGAGGCGGCGGGCGCCGGCAGCAGCGGCGGCGACGCGCTCAAGCCCTGGAAGCAGAAGCAGCAGCAGCAGCTGGCGGAGGAGGAGCAGCAACTGCTGCAGCAGCGCCTGGAGGGGGAGCCTGGCAAGAAGGCGGCGGCCGGCAGCGCTGCAGCCAGGCGGGCCTCCGAGCGCGCGGCGGGCCGCCTGACGCTCACCGCTGCGGAGCTGCACGCGTGCCGCCAGCGCCCGCTGCACCCGGCCGTGCTGCTGGGCGTTGTCGGCGGCGCCGTGTGCATTGTGTTTGGCCTTGCGGCGGCGCTGCGGCTGGGCCTGTACGATGATTGAGGCCTGTACGATTGAGTGAGCCGCTTTGCTCACCTGTGAACCGTGGTGAGCAGCCCTGACTGCCGAAACAGGTGTCGCTCCGTTTCTGATTCTCCATTTCCAACCATTCGTACGTTGAAACCTACTTTTGTTTGCGACTGATGTCCTTCCTTTCGGCTGCCATTGTTGGTATGTTGCATGTTGCTCCTCATTGTTTGGGAGGTGAGCCGGCCGTCTGCCCCCGCCCGCTCGCCAATTCTGGTGCTTGAACCCTTTCTCAACCAGCTATCTTGGCCCCGTGTCTTATCTTCCGTACTCACAGACAATCCCCCTTTTTCTACACCCATATTCTACTGCTTGCGTAATAAAATAAGGCTTTTTGACTAGACTCTTGCCGCCTTGCACGTTTGCACGTTCGGCCAATCTTAACACCCAGGTGTAAGCGCGCCACTCTGCACGGAACGGGGACTATTGCAGCCACGCAGCCGGCAGGGACGGCTCAGTGCATGAAAGGGCATCTGCACTAGGGCTGGCGCCAGAGCGAGTGCCTCCTGCTGACGTGGACGCGCCAGGCTGTCATGCTGACGTGGGTGCGCCGTGCATTGCCAACCTGGTCCCTGATAAACCGGCCTTGTAGCGAGACAAACACCAGTGGCCGCATGTAAACACCAGAGCTCAGTTTGCTCTGCTTCACAACGGAAGTGCCCTCACAGGTTGCGGGCCACGAGGGGGGCAAACGATTGTCTAAAGCCAGACAGGTGAACTGCATTAACGTACTGGCACACAAGGGAGGGCGGTTTCGGGCCAGCCGACATGCAGCGGTGCCTACCTTGCTCGCCGCCGCTGCTCCGCCGCCGCCGCACCCCCGCCGCACATGCAGGAGCGCCCTGCTGGGGGCCACATGGCCACCCGGCTGCCTGTGGCTGCTGACAAGTACTACCCTGCCGATCCAAGCGCGCTGCGGGCGCAGCTGGATGCCTGCCTGGCGCGCCCGGCACCCCCCGTGGCGGGCCCGCACCTCCAGCCGGCGCCCGGCACGCGGCGGCAGAGCCTGCGCGGCCTGATTGTGAGCTTCCAGCCTGGCAAGGCATCCAGCTGCCAGCCTGGACGAGGCTGGGATCGCTTTGGGCACCCTGACCGCCCTTTCATTGCATTGGATCCCAGAATAGCTAGCGGTACCACCTGCAGGTGCCACACGGCTCGCTGCAAGACAGCGGCATGGTGGCGGCCGCCGCCTACTCCCTTCTGGCTGCCGGGCTGAGCTCCCTGCAGAGCGTGCCACATCAGGCCCCTGGTGCATCCCCCTCCTCCTCCTCCCCCTCCCCTGCTGCCGATTCCCTCGGCCCCCACACTCCTGTGCTCATCCTGGGGACCAACCACTTCACAGCCCTGCCGCCGGCCTGCCTGTCGAGTGCGGCGGCCTGGCGCACGCCGCTGGGCGCCGCGCCGCTGGAGCCGGAGCTGTGCCGACAGCTGGCGGCAGCCGGCCTGCCGCTCGACGACGCGCCACACAAGTGAGCGGGCCGCTGCGGGTGCACGCCGCAACAGCGGCGGCGGCTAGGGCTTGGCGGGCAGCGCCAGGCATGCCAGCCTGCACGCCGCGTCGCCCTGCGTGCTGCTCCGCCGTGCGCGTCGGCCACCACGGCTGCCGCCTGTAGAGCCGCCGCCGCCGCCGCTTGCAGAGCGCCCCCCCCACAGCTGGGCGCCCGAGTGGCCTGAATCATTCCATGGAGCGTAGCGTGGGGCGCCGGCCTCAGCTGCCCCTGCGACGCGCCGTGCCATATGCCATCTCCGCCTGCCGCAGTTTGGAGCACTCGATCGAAAACCAGCTGCCTTTCCTGCAGCACGTGCTGGGCAGCCCGGGGCCCAGCCCCGGGGCGCGCCCCTTTGCCATCGCGCCCGTGTGCGTGGGCTGGCTGGGCAGCGAGGCAGCGGCGGGCCGGCTGGCGCGGCAGCTGGCGGCGGCGGTGGCCCGGTACGAGCAGCGGCGGCAGCGGCAGGTGCTGCTCATCGCCACCTCAGACTTTACCCACGGGGTGAGCGTGCCAGGTCAGCGGCGGTTGAGAGGTGGCATGCAGTGAGCCTGCCAGGTCAGCGGCGGTCGAGAGGTGGCATGCGGGGCGGGCTGGCGCGGCAGCAGAGGGGCGAGGTGGGGCTGGCAGCAGCGGGGAGGCGGGCAGGCACACCCCTCCTGCACCACGTGCGGCCCCCTACACCCCGTGCTGAGCCCTGCTTGCCGGGCGGGCCTTGCTCGCCAAAGCAGCTGTCCCGCTTTCCTCTCTGACCTCTGTTCCCTGCCGCCTGCAGGGCCCCAGCTACGGCGAGGCCCCCGCGGCACCCTGGATGAGCCTGCGGGAGCACTGCGTGTGGCGCGACTCCCCGCTGCTGCACGCCATCTGCGGCGGCAGCCCCCGCGGCTTCCTGCAGGCCTGCGATTTGGTGGGAGCCTCGCTGTGCGGGCGGTGGCCTGTGGCAGTGTTCATGCAGGTGGCACAGGTGGGTAGGGCAGAGGCAAGAGGTGTCTGTGTGTGGCCGTGTGGGCGGGTGGCGCGGCAGCTGGGGGGTGGCAGCAAGGGAGGCGGAGGATGGCAACCCGAACGGCCCCGGCACGCTGCCGACCTTCAACCTTCACGGGCTGCAGCCTGTGCAGCTTGTGCTGCCGCTCATGCTGCACTGCGCTGGGCTGCTGCTGGTGCTGCTGCTGTGCTGTGCTGGCGGCGCGGCTGACGGCCCCTCCCCCGCGAGCAGGACCTGGGCTGGTCTCTGGAGCTGCTGGCCTATGCGCCCAGCGATCTGTACGTGAGCACCGGCGACATCAACGGCTTCGCCGCCTTTTCTGCCTGGGAGTAACTGAGCCTGGAGGCGGCTGGAGCGAGCCGGAGCCGGAGCTCCGAGGCTTCTCTGAGCTCAGCCTCTTCTATTCTCCCTTGCCTGATGTGGGCTGCGGGGTGCCAGCTTGGCGGACAGACTCGATATGATCACAGGGTGGCCGCCCAACCAACTTCACACATGCATGCGGGGCTTTGGTGCAGCCGTGTAACACAGGGGGGGCAGTGCGGGAGTGCAGTTGGTCACGATGCTGGAGGGTGGGGCAGCCCTGGGCCCACGGGTGCGCTTGGGGCACCTAGGCGCTGCTGTGCTCCGCCGCCGCCGCCGCCGCCGGGAACTCGCACTTGAACACAACTGCGGGGCAGGGGCAGGCAGGCAGGTAACGTTTCAGAAGGTGGGGCAGGAGCGTCAGCCGCTTGCGTGGGATGCGTGCGCAGCCACGGGAGGGCGGGGAGGGCCGGAGGGGCTGCGCGGGGAGCATGGGACCAGACGGGAGCCGGGCAGGCGCCAGGCGGGCGCCCCGGGCCAGGGTGCGAGTGTCCCGCACCCGCGGGCAGCTTGGCCGCCTCCTCCGGGTCGTAGCACTTGGTCTTGACCAGCAGCGCGTCGCACACGGCGCAGGTGGCGGCGTGGGCCAGGCACTCGTCGCCGGGCGTGAGCGCCTGGCAGATGGAGGGTTCCTCTTCTGCACCCGCACCCGCTGCCTCCTCAGCCTCGGCAGCAGCCTCGGCGCCGGGCCGGACGCACGTGAAGACGTCTGCGCGGCGACAGGCAGGCGCAGGCAGCGCAGGAGCCGTGGGTTGAGAGGTCGGCAGCGGGCGCCTCGCGTGGCGGGCAGCCACCTGCCGCCGCCTCCGCCATGCATTGCGTGCATCAGGGTGCGCCCCCCGGCTTGCCACTCACATCGTGACAGCTCTGCGGCGGCCTTGGGCTCGAAGCAGAGCTCCAGGCCGTCCATCCTGGTGCACAGCGCGCAGCGGGGAAGGGTCTTGCACTGCTCCGCGCTGTATGACTCGCACACGTACTCCAGATCGCCCTGCAACGAGGTCTTGTCGGCAGCCGCCGCAGCGGTGGCCGCCGCCAGCAGCAAGCACGCCAGGGCGAGTCTCATGGCGGTCAAGGGTGACAGACGCGCTTCAGCAGATGTCCTGATGCACAATTGATCGGCGATGGCTGCTGGGAGGGCTTGAGGTTCAGCCCTAGGAGCACAGCACGGCTCAGCATACACACGTGATTGAAGGTGTGGGGCGCTGCTTTCAGCTGCTGATATCACCATCTTGGAGCTAGGGGTCTGTTGACTCTCTCTTGCTCAATGCTGATCACTGTGGCCTGGGTGGATGTACCCGACATGCCACCACCGACCCGCTCTCCTGACCTTCCTTCCTCACTTGCCCTTGGCCCACGGTGCTGATCAGCTGCGGCCACCCCATGTTGGATGACTGCAATTTGAGGTGCAGGATCACCCCGGCAGGCTGCCACTCACAGAAAGTGGGCTGCTCAGCAACTGCGACAGCAGAGCCCACTGGCGTGTCACGACGACGGCCAGCGGCGGCAACACTCTCCCGCTCCGCGCTGTCTTTGCACCCAGCAGCCCTCTCCGATCACATCCCACCAAGAGCTGCCCCCTTAGAATGTGGAGCAGCAGCTTTCGCTGGAGGTGCAATCATCGGTTGTCATGACAAGCAGCAGCAGCAGCAGGGGGTGAGTAGGCCGGCAGAGCACGCTTCTGATCACATCCTCAGGCCGTCCCAAGCCCCAGGAGAGGACAGCTGGAGGAGCGAGCATGACCTCACCACCGACCGTTGCCAACAACCTGAGTGACTGCCTGGGCGCCCTCTCGTCCGGCGTGCTCGCACATCGTATGCTGACTGCAACAGTTGCCTGGCCAGGGCGGCCCCCCAGAGCTTTGCAGAGAGGCCGCCCGGGCGTGCCCAACCGCCGCCCAACTGCCGGGCCTCAGCTTGTGACTGCCTCGTGCCTGTGCCGGCCTTGGTGCCTGTTGCGGCCTGTCGCACCGATGCGCCTGTCTGACGGGTTTTCGCAGGCGCACAGGTCCGCCAGGGTCAGCTGCAGTACGGTGCCTCTGCCCGACCGTCCTTCGCGGCGCTGATTTAAAGAGCTGCGCTCCTGATCCAGCCACCATTTCATTTCCTGTTGTTTGCCTCCCAGCCGCCGCCCTCCACCCCTGCACATCCCTCGCCCACCAATCATCAGCCCCAAGCATCAGCACCATGCCCCGCCTTCCCGTCAAACTCGCAGCCCTCATCGGCCTCCTGGCCCTCTTCTGCGGCGCTGCAGTGGCAGACGATGATGTTCACAGGGGCGATGGCACGGCATACAGCGGTGGGTGGCGCCGCCGGCGCAGATGGGCCACGGATGGCGCGCATCCACTGACTGATGGCGACATCTGTCGACTGTCTGGCCTTGAGCAGCCTCCGCCTGCCGGCCCTGCTGCCACAGCCTGATCCAGCCGGCGCCAGGCTCGCAGCCCACGTTGCTGCAAGTTGGATCCACTACGCCCCGCCCACGGTTGACTGCCTGACCACGGCATGCTCGCCGCCGCACCCCGTCCCGCTCCGCAGGCAAGGGCGAGAAGGACAAGACCGGCAAGAACAGCTGCCAGTTCGAGGAGCTGGACGAGACGTGGGAGAAATATTACGCCGCCCTGCCCAGCCAGGTGTTTGACAGGGAGGGCGACTGCGGCAGGTGCATCCTCGTGCGCGGGCTCAACGAAGAGGCCAGCGGCAAGTGGGTCAAGGTGAGGAGGCGGGCAAGCACAGCCCAGGCGCCGCGCGGCCGGCCTGGCAGCTGGCCTGCAGCCCAGCTGCGCATCGCGGGGATGCAGGGCCAGGCCTGAGCTGCCGCCAGCCAGCCAGCCAGCCGAGCCCGCCGAGCCTGCAACCGCCACCCCACTCCCTGCCAACCCGCCCCGCCCCGCACCCGCTCTGCCACCCCCGCCCCACCGCAGGCGATGGTTGTGGACGAGTGTGCCTCGTGCGGCGGCAACTCTGACGTCGACCTTTCCATTGACGCCCTCAACGATGCCACCGGCTTCAGCTGGGACCGCAAGCCCATTGAGTGGTGAGGGCGCAGCAAGGGGCCGCACGGGGAGCGCCAGCTGTCGCCACCTGGCTTCGGCTGTGCATTCGCACCTGCTAGTTATTCTTACAATATACCAAACCTACCAAACCTGTACCCCCCGTCTTACCTTGCCTGCCACCGCTCTCTCCCCTGCCGCAGGAAGTGGACGAGCTGCGACGACGGCGACGACAAGAAGCGGCGCAAGGACCGCCGCCTGTTGTGGGCCTGAGCTGGCCGCTGCTGCCACGCGTCCCTTCTCCGCGTCGGGCAGCCAGTTTTTTCTGTGCAATCCACACCCCCGTCCCCTGTCTCTCCCTCCACACTTTGATGCCTGAATCCACTGACTGACCTGACTCTCCCTCTCGACCGTGACTGCCGTGCCCTTTGATTTGACCACCCAACCAGCCCCTCTCCCTTCGCCCCCTCCTTTCATCGATTTGTCCATGCATGCATCCCTTCCTCTGCCGGGGCAGCCCAGCCTGTTCTGCAATCCCTTGCTCCTCGCCCCAATACTGCCAACTGTCATTTATTTGTCAGCAGGCCACCCCGCCTGCCCTCTGCTCCTGTGCGCTGTTCTTGACGTGACCGCATTGCGTGCAGCATCGAAAGGCCGCCTGCGCACAACAACCTATCGCATGCCTATTGCACACCAATGAATGGCAACAGGCTCCTTGTAAGCAACTCTGGCTGTCACCGACTGGCATGTACGCAGGCGCGGCTGCCAGCACGCCGCCCACCACCCCAGCACCTGCCGCCGCTACAACGCAGTTCTTTACAAACAATGGCAGGCAGCGCAGCAGCCGCCGGCTCAAACAATGCAGGATAACAACGACGGTCGTCCCGCCGGGTAGGAGGCTGGGGAATCGTAGCAGGAGCAGGCAGGGGTGAAGACAGCGCCGGCAACTGGCGCGGGGGAGGTCACCAAAACTGTTGAGTCACCACGCCCCTTGCCATTGTCCAGGTGGCAAGGAACGAACAATGGTGGGGGGTGGTGTGCGTGCGTGTGGGGGTGCCTCGGCGCCCGCAGGCATGCGCTGCCGGGCAGCAGCAGCGGGGCGAGGACGCAGGGGAGGACGTCTTGTCTTTGTGGGGGGCCGTACAGGGCGGCTTGGTTGCTGGAGAGCACCGGCAGGGTGCTGCCAAGCCAGTAGGCAAACATGCGGCAGCGCTCGTGCGCGCGTCGCGGCAGGTTGTGAGGGAAAAGCAACAGTCCGCGTGGGGTGGGGGGTGCTGCAAGAGGATCGTATGAGGAGGGGCGGGGAGGTAGGTCAGGGCGGCTTTCACGGGACAGATTGCGGGGGATGAATGACCGAGGGGAAACAAGAGAGGTGCGGGGCAAGGGAGGAAGGCGTGTAGGCAAGGTGGGGCGGGTCTGGCTGTCGCTATGTGGACACTAGAAGGTAGGTACAAAAGAGGTGGGGGAAGAAGGCTCTCAATCTGCGGCTCAATCTCAAGCTACTGTTTGGAAAGGGCGGCGCGGCGGGGCCGGCATGCTGGGCCGGCCCCTGCCGCCGCGCCGCGGGAACTGCGCTGCGCCATGCCGAGGCCTACGGGCGTGTGCCTGGCGCGCGCGGCTGGCGGGCCCCTGCCTGGCAGGAAGGCCCCGGCCCCGGCTGGCCGGCGGGGCTGCTCAGCTGACCATGGCGCGGATCAGCTCCGCCACCTGGCCCATGGCGGCCCGCACGCAGTCATTGGGCAGCAGCAGGCGGTGCGACAGCTGCTTGCCGGTGATGGGGGACACCTCCTTGTTCTGCCTGCACGTATCAGGCGGTGGCCACACAGGCGGGGGCAGGGGTTTCAGAAGCACAGCCGGCAGGGCCGGCAGCGGGGGCGTGGGCGCACGCAGCGGGCGCCCAACCCCGCCCGGCGGCGCAGCTTGGAGGCCGAGGCGCAGCGCAGAGGGGTGGAGGTGTGGCGTGCCTGTACAGCCAGTCTGTGATCACTTCCTTCTCATAAGTGATGCCGTCAGCTGCCACAACTGCAGCAGGGCAGGCAGGTGGGCAGGGCGAGTGTTGGTGTGTTGGTGTGTGGTGTGGTACGCGCGCGTGTGCTTGGGAGGAGGCGCTTTGGGAGCAGGCGGGCGGTTGGGGCGGCAGGCGCGCAGCCGCATGCGGCGGCTGGCTCAGCGGCGGGCAGCGCCAGCACCGAATGCTCCGGGCCTACAGCTGGCAGCGCAAGCCAGCAAACCCGCCACTGTGGGGTGCGGCGCTGGCAGGGCGCACCTGGATGGGTGAAGGGGCGGCCTGTCAGGGGGCACATGAATGCGGGCACAAGCGACAGGTCCACGCCGCCGGCGGCAGCCGCCATGCGCTGCATGAAGGCTGCCTGGGCGGGCGGGGTGGCGTGCTGCGGCGCCGGGGGAGCCCCGCCGCCTGCCGCCGCAGGCATGGCAGGCTGGTAGGCTGCGTGGCGCGGTGGCGGCGGCGGCGCCCTGCCAAAGCCAGGCGGCGGCAGGGGCATCACTGCATTGGGTGCCGGCACGCCCAAGGCCGGAGCAGAGTGGGCTGGCACGGGCACCGGGATGGGGGCTGGCGCGGCCTGCGCAGCCGCCGGGTGGGGCGCTGGGCGGGCAGGCGCGGCGGGCGGCGCCGCCACGTGCATCACTTCCAGCGGGCACAGCGTGGCGGGCGCGGGAGGCGAGGCGGCTGCATCCACAAACACGACCGTCGGCACCAGGATGGGCTTGGAAGCCGCTGCGGCGGGCTTGGCGGCGGCGACAACTACCGGCTCCGCCGCAGCCTCCTGCCGCCGCTCCTCCACCTCCGCCTCCTCCTGCTGCTCAGCAGCCTCCTCCTGCTCCGGCTGCTGCGCCTGCTGCTGCCCCTCCTCAAACTCCTCCTCCTCGTCCATGTCGGCCCAGCTGCCAGCCTTCTCCAGCGGGGCATCCGGCGCCGGTGCCGGCGCGGCAGCCGCCTCGCCCCGCGCGGGCGCAGGCGCCCGCGCCGCCATCGCCCGCTTGGCGGGGCTGCCGGCGCAGCTGGGCGGCGCGCTGGGTGGCGCGGCGTGCGCGCCGTGTCCGGCGTCGCCATCCTCGGACTCGGCGCCCACGCTGTGCACGCTGCCCGCACGGCTGGCGCCGCTGCTGCTGGGCGCCCGCTGCAGCCCCGGCTCGCCGATGCAGACGGTGGTGGGGGCGGAGGAGGTGGTGGAGCTGCCCTCCCATTCCTGGCTCATGCGCTGCACGGGAGAGGAGCGGGGAGCGGGGAGCAGGGAGCGGCAGGCCAGGTGGGATGCAGGGCAGAGCAGGCGGCAGGCGTGGCGCTGGAGCAGGTCCGGCACACTTGGCAGCAGCGTGGGGGCAGGCAGGGTCAGGCGGGGCAGCAGCTCCCCACCTTGCTGAGCCCGGCCGCCGGCTCCTCGCTGCCCGTCTGGCTGGCCTGGCGGCTGTGCTGCGGCGCGGCGGGCGCCGCAGGCGCGGCCGCGGCCGCGCCGGCCCCGCCGGCCCCGCGCCCCAGTGCCGGGAACTGCTCCGAGTCCTCCAGCTGCGGCGGCGGCGCGCCGGGCGGCGGCGCGCCCTGCGCCGCCGCGCCCGCGCCCTGCGCCGCCGCGGCAGCCGCCGACAGCCTGCGCTGCAGCTCGTCCGTGTGCCGCTGCGCGTTGCGGCTCCGCTGCAGCGCATACTCCTGAGGGTAGGCCGCGGCCATGAGCGGCGGGCAGGAATCCTCCTGCCCCTCAGCCTCCGCCTCGCTTGTGTACCCGCTGAGGCCCCCGTTGGCGCCGCTGCAGCTGCGGCCCGCCGCCTGGCCGCCGACGTAGTGGTGGCGTGCGCGGTAGGACGACTGGCTGCATGCAGGGTCGCGGCAGCAAGTGCAGGGCAGGGGGTGGGCGGGGTTCCTTGAAATGGGTACGGGATGAGGGCGGCGAGGATGCGACAGGGCAGCGAGGCGATGGACCGAGGCAGAGGGGAGAGGGCGAGGGGAGCGCGGCGGGCGCCCAGAGATTGGCACACAAGGCCACAGCGCAGCGCAGGCGGGCAGGCGCCGCATGCGAGCCAGGCGGGCTGGGCGCGCACCCGGCGGTGTAGCGCCTGATCTCCGCCTCGCCGTGGGCAAAGTTGCAGGTGGCGCCGTGCCTGCGGGGCAGGGCAGGGCAGGCCAGGCAGGACGCGGGTGGGTGCTGGCCAGGCTGGGAGAGGCAGGCAGCGGGCGCAGCGGTAGGGCAGCAGCGGGGGAGCAGCAGGGAGCGGGCGGGGCGCGTGCAGGAGTGCCGAGCACCAAACCACCCGCAGCCAGAGCACGTGCCGGCTCCCCTGCCGGCTGCTGGGCCCTGCCCAGTCCACCCCGCCCTGCCTGCCTGCCTGGGCAGTTCCCGTAACAGCCCGCCCATGCGCCCGCCCATGCACCCACACATGCACCCTCACTTGCCCCCACCTGCAGTCCCCGAAGCGCTCCCAGTGGGCGCAGATTGCGGTCTTGTACTTGGAGGGGTGGCAGTAGCCGCGGCTGCCGCCGCTGTCCCAGTCCCGCTTCCCCTGGAGCCGGGCCGGGGTGTAGGTGAAGGTGGCTGAGGAGGCAAAGGCGGCGGGGCGGGGCACCCCTGCGGAGGAGGGTGCAAACTCCTGCGAGCGGCCGGGGGTGGCCACAGCCTCGCCCTCCTGCAGCAGGGGGTGCGTGGAGGGTGGGAGGAGGGCAGGGTCGGCTCGAGAGCGGGCCCGGGAAGACGTGGGATGGAGCGGCCGTGGACAGGGGAATGAAGGGGGCTGCCCGCCAACCCGCCCGCACCCCGTAGCGCCCACGCTCGCCCCTCCCGCTGCCCTCACCCGGATGCCTCACCTTGGGCCGCTCCGCCTCCCGGGTGGCGCGCAGCACGCGCACCTCCTCCACGCTGTGCGCAAACATGCAGCGGTCGCCGTAGCGGCACGGCCGCGGGTTGTCGCACATGACGGCCATCTTCTGCAGAAGACAGGCGCAGGGAGCGGGGAGCAGGCAGGCAGGGGAGCAGGAGGGCGCGAGAGGTGGGCGGGCGGGGAATGGGAGGCTTGAGGAGAGACTCCTATGGTTTGTGGGTGCTGCGCCGGGCGGGTTGACCGCCGGAGGCGAGACCGCCGGGCGGGTTGGCCCCCGCCGGCAGCCCCTGTTTTGCTGGCATACACTGCGCCGGTGCGCGCAGGCGCCCTCTGGCAGCCTCCCAGAGCCCCGGCAGCAGCGCAGCGCAGGCGGGGGCCTCGCAGGGGGCCTCGCAGCGGCTGGGAGATGGCTGGTCAGATTGGCGGCGGCGGCGGCAGGGCAGCAGGGTCTTGCGGGCCCGCCGGCGGCGGCATCTCACCAGCGAGCTGCGCAGGAGCAGGCGCTGCCGCTCCAGGGCAGTCAGCCCAGGGGCCTGCACGAAATGTCCATCAGGAGCGTGGGTGTTCAGCCCCAGAACGGCCTCCCGCAGGGCCGGCGGGCATCGAGAAGCCTACCTGCTGAGAGGAACTCGCCATCTTTGCGGGTGCCTGGCCCCGCCCGAGCCTGCAGGTTGGTGCAAGGTCTTGGCAGGGAACGATCGTTGTGGTATGCCGCTGGCGCTGGCCTCTGGCCTCCTGCTACTCACAACCGGCAATGGTAGCAAAGCGGCAGGGGTGCGATGCGCAATGAGCGATGCTGAGCGGGTTGGGCTCACCTGGCACCCGGCTACGGAGAACAGACCGGTCGAGAGGATCCCCTGGCGTGGCGTGTTCCGTCGTGTTCCCGGCCCAATACGGCGCCTGTTATCCATCTGCACACTTTGAGCCGACTCTGGCTTGTGGGCCCAGAGCCCTAGCTCCGCGGCTGCTGGCTTCCAGGTGCAGTGTTCGTGCCGGCATGCATTCAAGACCAAGCCGCGAGGGAGTGCAGAAGCGCAAGAACGGGGCGGCAGCGGCGGCGCCGTGGCCCCGAGGCCCCACCAGCCCTCCCGCCTCGCGGCCTTGCACCGTCCATGCCGCCTGTCCCTGCTGCTGCTGTCGCTGGCCTGTCTCAATGAAGCTTCCTGGCCCGCCTGGGCGTAGGCGTGTTATATGTCTATGCGCGATGCTGTATCGCACTGCACACTGAGTCGGCACTCAGTCGGGGTTGTCATCGAGCAGCAGAGCGCAAGCGCTGCTGGCCGCGCGCTGCGCACACCCTTAAGGGGAAGCGCTGCGCATTGCCGATTCCCACATACAGCACGCCATATTGTACTGCATGAAATCCTTGACTGCATTGCGACATCATCAGTACCGCGAATGGATGAGGGCTCTGAGGCAGCACGCTGTGCCGCATGGTGCCCGCTGGGCAGGCCGCCAGGCAGGCGTGCTTTGAAAGCCTACCTGCCTCTAACCGCCGTGCTGGCCTGTAAAGCCAATGTCATCTGCTGTGCTGCGCTTGACACTAGCGGCTGCCCCCACACACAACAAGCCAGCCGGAGCTTCTGGCCGGGCGGGCTGGAGGGGGCTCCTGGGCATCATCCGCACGCTGTGATTGAGCTAAAGGCGACAGCAGCGCCGCCTGCAGCCACCTGGCCCACATGATGCGCGTCGTGCTCCTCTGCTTGCTGGGCTGTGCCCTGGGCCCCGCGCTAGCACTAGACAACGGACTGAATGCCAAGCCGGCACTGGGATTCAATACGTGAGGATGCGCCACCGCCGCCGGTGCCGCCCACGCTCCCACTGCTGGCGCCCTGCCTGAGCTGCCTCCTCACCCTGCTGGCTCCCCGCAGCTGGAATGCCTTCTACCGTGAGATTCACGAGGACCTGGTGAAGGAACACGCAGACCTGATGGTGTCGCTGGGGCTGCGGGACGCCGGGCAAGTGCCGCCGCCTGGCCGTCCGCCTCTTGGCTGGCGCCCGCAGCGGTTGGGGATTGCCCGCTGGTAGCGCGCCCTGCCGCTGGGCTGCCTGTGCTCACGTGGCCCTCCCCTACCACCGTCAGGATGCCTCCGCTCCCAAGGCCCAGCACCCGAACTGCCGCCCTTCCCCGGCTCTTTCACCAACATGCACCCTTGCACCACATGGCACCACATGGCCGCTCTGGTCGCCCTGGCGGTTGCTGCGGTACCTATGTGCTGCAGGTTTCAGTACCTGGTGCTGGACGACTGCTGGTCGGAGCGGTCCCGCGAGGAGGGCGAGCGGCTGCAGGCCAGCAAAGAGAAGTTCCCGTCGGGCATGAAGGTGCGCAGGCCGGGGCTGCCGCGCCCCGATGCCGCTCGTCGTGCCACCCGCAGCTGTTCCCGCCCTCTGCCCCTGCCGACGCCTGCACCCACCTCACGCCGCCCTGCCGCCCACCCTTGCGGTACCAATACCATTTAAACGGTACCGCACCCTGTACCACAGGCCATGGGCGACTACATCCATGCCAAGGGCCTTAAGTATGGCATCTACTCTGACGCCGGCACCCTCACCTGCGCCAAGTACCCGGGCAGCCTGGACCACGAGGAGCTCGACGCCCAGACCTTTGCGGGCTGGGGTGAGGGAGGCCCGCCCGGCGGGGCGCGTGTATAGCGTTGCGGTGGCGGGGGGGGCACTGTCGGGCGTGGGTGGGTCCCATGCTGCTTGGTGTAGCCGTGCTTTGTGCACGTGTGAGCTGCTCTTTTTGCCCTCCTACTCTTTTCTCTTCCTGTCTCTCTCTCTTTCCTCATCCACCACCATCACGCTCTCTCTCACACCTGCCCCCCCCCCACCACCACCCCACCACCACCACCACCACCACCACACACACACACAACCAGGCGTGGACTACCTTAAATACGACAACTGCCACGTGCGGCGGGACCGCTGGGTGATCGACCGCTACGCCGCCATGCGCGATGCGCTCAACGCCACGGGCCGCCCCATAGTCTACTCCCTGTGCGAGTGGGGCGTCATGGAGCCGCACCTGTGGGCGCCGCAGGTGGGTGGGTGGGTGGTAAGGGCCAGGGAACCCGAGGGGAGTGTGTCGGCAGGGGTCGGGTGGTATGCGTGCATGTTTGTGGGGTTGCAAATCACGTGCAGCATGGGCCAGGCTGCGGCACGGCGGTGGCCTGCGGCTCGCTTGGTGTGCCCCATGCTGCGGGCCTGGCTGCCAGCGGGAGAGCTGGGGCAGGCATGCATGCATGTGACAGCCTGCGGCGCTCCGCGCCCGCCTGCCTGCAGGTCGGCAACAGCTGGCGCACAACTGAGGTGCGCGGCACGCGCAGGGCCTGCTGCCGCATGCTGCTGCCAGGCCCACCCCCTCTGCCCCAGCCCGGCCTGCCGCATGCGCCAACCACCTCCCCAGCAAAGCTGTTCGCCCCGATGCCGCTGCGCTGCCTGCCGATGCCGCTCCTGCCCTGGCCTCCCTCACTAAGCCTCTACCCCGTCGCCCACACCGCAAACAGAAACCAGACTTCTACCCCCGCCCCACTTTGCCCCCAACCCACCTGAGCAGGACATCCGCCCCTGGTGGGACAGCATCGTCAAGACACTGGACTATAATGTGGGGCTCAGCCGCTTTGCGGGGCCCCACCTGGGCTGGAACGACCTGGACAGTGAGCAGCCCCCGCCGCGCGGGCACCGCCGTGCATGCACTCGCAGGCGCCCGGTGGCCTCTGCCCTCTGGTTCCCGCTTGTGTCATGCTTGGCAGGTGGCTCATGCATGGTCTGATGCGCAGCTCCGCTGCCCTGCCTGCCTGCCTGCCTGCCTCCTTGCAGTGCTGTACGGTGCGTGGGGTGTCTGGGACGCCCGAGGCGCCAGGCACTGCTGCCTTTCGCACATATGCTTTGCAGCTGACGGACGCATCAGGGCTGAGGCGGGGATCTGCCGCTGCAGCCTCTGTTTCTCCTCGCACTCGCTGCGCCTCCCGGCGCCGCCCTCCCCCCTTCCCGCCACCTCCCCGCCCCTCCTCCGCCCTCCCTGCCGCAGTGGGCAACGACACGGGGCTGAGCCACGCGGAGCAGCGCACCCACTTTGCGCTGTGGGCGCTGCTCAAGTCGCCGCTCATGATTGGCCACGACCTGCGCGACTTCTCCAAGACCTCGCTGGGCATCCTGCTGGCCAAGGTGGGTCCAAGGTTGGCGGCGCGTGCGATGTGCGGGTGGCGCGAGTGCTGGGTGCTTGAGGCCCAGTTTTGGGAGCTGCGATGCATCACCGCGGCGCCGCGCACGTGACGCTAGCTTGGCGCTGGCTGGTCGGGGCGCCAGCGGCCTGACTGGCACCCTTCATTGTGTGTTTGCCGCCCGCCTTTGCGTGTGCAGGAGGTGATTGCCATCAACCAGGACGACCTGGGGGTGGCCGGGGACCTGGTGTGGCGGCAGGGCACCAAGCGGGTGCGTTTCCCGGCCTCGCCGCCTCTCCTGATGGTCAAGCGTTGTCCCCCTGCCATGCGCACGCCCCACCCTTGCCTAGGCCCGCCCCGCCCCGCTCCCCGCAGGTGTACGCGGGCCCGCTGGCGGGCGGCGGCCGTGCCGTGGTACTGGCCAACTTCCAGACCACTTACTCGCAGTACCCCGCCACCAACATCACCGTGTTCTGGACCCAAGTGGGCCTGCAGCCCGGCCAGCGGGTTGCGGTGCGAGATCTGTATGCAGGTGGGCGGCTGGGTGGGCGACATAGATGGGGGGATGGTGTGAGACAGTGTGTGTGCGACTGGTGGGGTGTGCGACTGGTGGGGCATGGGTGGGAGGGGCTGTTGGCTGCCGAGCCACCCCCCACACA